ATAAGGATCATACCATTAAATATCATAAAACTTCTTAACGAGCGTGAAAGCATAAAATGAAAAAGATATGATTCGAAGGGAATTGACTTGCCATTGTAGTATTACCACATTTTATGGACTCAGTAGAGTATCTACGAACTCCATCTCATTCACAGAGAATCGCAAATATGCCTGCGAAAAATTTTATGTATATGCGAATATCATTGCCACACATATATTTGAGCTTATACCTCGCCTGTATTTTGGACGATAAAAAATGCGGAAAAAGTCAGTAGATATACATAAAATATATCTGTCACCTATACATAAAATATATACATACTTCTATCATATATACATATATATATATATATATATATATATATATACGAGATATATATATATATATATATATATATATATATATTAATATATGCGACATTAATAAGGTAAAATATATAACAAAAACACCATATGTGTTATTTATTCAACATGCTTCATATCATGCTTTTTCCCCAAACTAGTAAATAATTAGAAAGTTTATAAATACTAAAGGTTAATAATTAATATTGTAATATGGTTTTTGTTATTTTTTTTTACAATTTATTTAATTTATTTAATTTGTTTTATCAATAATGTTTCAAATGATTATTATCATGAGATAAATATACAGAATTCTCATTACTCACATTTTTTATGTAACTGAATAAATAAATAAATCTTTTCAAACAAACAAACTAAAGGTTAATTTATCTATCTGGCAAATATTCTCATAAATACTTGAAAATATTGTAATGAATGATACTTACAACCATTAAAGTTTTAAGCACTCTCTTACAATATTGCTTTAACATAATACTCATTTGCTTATTTTAGAATAATGTCGTTGTAAGTTTTATAAAACTCTAGTAACTCAAGCATTTTCAAGTATTTGATACAAATTTTGTATAATTGACAATGCTTCAACATCATGTTTTCCATTGTATTTGTTGCTTTTTCTGAAATTTGTATGAAACGAATCAAAACAGCAAAAGCAGCAAAAAATTCTCTCGAAGTATGGAAGAAAAACCGTTTTCCTGATTTTTTTCGTTTGAGATTGATGATTGTACAATAAAAATTGAGAGAATAATGGGAATACTTCACACCGAGTTCCATATCATGAAATCAATTGAAGATTATATGCATTAAAATTTACAAAAATATGGATAGTGTTTTGAAAAAATAAATGGTTGCAAAAAATAAGTCTAACGCTAAATAAAAATAAGTAAACGCTGAAATGAAATGAAATCTATACAAATTTTGATGTGTTAAAGTTTCCTACAACTATCAATTCATTAACGTTTTTTGAACAAAGATTAGTTCATTTTTTAATTAGTTATCCAATTTACAATTTCGATTGATTGTAAAACGAACTGTCATTAACTAACTCTTATATTGTGTATTTGCTTAAGAAAATCTGTAATCTCAATCATTTATAAACTTTATATTAATAAAGAGCAAATGATTATGAGTCTCCCTGTCTTGCAACCACAAGGTTGTGGATTCAAACTGATTCAAACTGATATCTATCAATATTTATATCCATTTTAATGGATGAAAATATGATCTCAAAATATTTTTTTAAAAGAAATAGTCTTTCTAGATATTACTGCAATATTCATCACATTCCGAATAGTGTTATCTAAAAATAGTCTCATTACAAAGAGAAAGGACAACCCCTGGGTTGCTTACTAATAATGGTATGATGTAAAAAATATATCATAAAGCTCATAAATTCCTAATCCTGATTGAAATTCAAATAAATAAATAGAAAAGTCTTGACTCTAAATCTGCCATTTAAATTATTGTTTCTTGGCATAACGGTTAAGCGCGCTATTTTGTATGGACAATCTGATATCATGTAGTGATATCAATTTTGATTTGATAATATAGATCAAAAATATATTTTAATTGAAAAATAACTCATTTTGGGCATTGCGGTGTAGAATGGCAATGGGAAATCTCTCACACTATTCTTTCCTAATTCGGTGGAGGGTGGTGTTGACCCATCCTAGTTTTCAATAATTATGAATAAATCATGTAAAATATTTATAGACTTTCAGCATTCGACCTAAATTAAATTTGATAAGTATTCGAAAATGCAATGTGCTTTTGTGACACTTCATACAATTGCAGAAAGAATGTATGCAAAAAAATATAACCAAAATAAATGGAACATCAGAAGTGATTTCTGCAGGATCAGATGTGAGGAAAAGGTAAGTACCTTTCGTGTCTCGAATATCTGGTATAAAACTTAATATTTTTAATACTACAGTCAAAGTCAAATATAGTATTAAATAATTAAATTAATTAAATGCTGCTGTTTACAAGAACATGTCGATATGAAACTTCAAACATAGAAGGCGGTGCATTTCAATGCATGTGGGCGCATGCATTTGCTGCATCAGCTGTATTATAAATGCAATGTCAGACCCTCTCGAGCATGGTTATGCATATATATTCGTTCCTCTCGATACACAAACATCTTGCTCGTAATTTGTCTAGTGGGATGGAATTCTAATACTCGTATGTAACACGATGGAATTACGAAAACTGATGTTTGAATTAGAATCACGCTGGTTTTGTCAACTATGAGGTGGTAGTTTGAAATTCATGTTCATATGCGATATTTGAATTGGAGACGAAGAATGATAGATGACTGATTAAAGAGGTACGAAACTTAATGGAATTGATAATGTTCAGATGAGAAATGATTTATGTTACCTCAAAGAATGTTTGATGGTTTGTCACATTTGTTGCCGTTGTTTACCTTTAATTTTACCAACTATCAGTACTTTAAGAGTTCTCTAAGTCGTTTTGCTGATTCATAAACGACGAGGCCTTTTAAAGATAGCAACTCAAACAAACGGTCCTATCTCTATGTGATGAAGTTGTTATTAGAATTTCTGTAACACTTATTAATTTTTGGCTGCAGCAATGCCGCCCAACAGCTTTTTTCACATAAAAACATTTGCCCCCTATTTTTTTAAAGAAAAAAACCGTGTCACTATTGCTAAAAGTAATAAACTTACAGATTTGATACTGACCTATAGAGAAAACATACCATACATATATGTATATAATGCTTTATCATATAAATCATAAATGAATTTATCGTATAAATTAATGTAACATATATTAGATGCAAAACCTTCTTCTCGCACCTACAAAACATGCACAAAAACTTCTCATGATTCTTACCAAGTTTATATTCAAAAGATTGATCAAACTAAAGTAAAAATCACATATAATCAAGATGAGCATTACAGATAAAACCAAAAGAATAAAGAAGAGGACTAAGAGTCAGTTAGAAAATTTAATTCTTCTCTCGACATCCAGATCATGCCATATAGACGTATTCTCATCAAGAAGTAAAAAATGCAAAGCTCCAGATGTTTTCAAATATAGTTTTTAGTGAATATTTATTTTGATTTTGATATTTATAAATCAAAAAATGATATTTTTGGGAAAAAAAATTGGTTTGTAAATAATTAAATTTATAAACTAGCGCAACTTCCCGTACCATAATTTAAAATGTTCAAAAGCTCTGAAAAGAAATATTAGATTTCTTTGCGAATATTGAAAACATTTGAATATTTTACATATTAAAAAAAAATACAATTTGTTTTAAAAAAACTAATATTTTTTGAAAACTTAAAAAGTTTCCAAAAACTTTCCAAGTTTTGTTATTTTTTTGGATTTTTTTTTTTTTTTCCTTGAAAATATTAAAATTTCTTTAAAGTTTTTGTCACTCATTCATATCGGTTGATTCAACTTCCAAAATATCTGTTTTTCGACCGTCAAATGACATTTTTATAAACTTGTTTTTCTGGATCTTCGAAACTGCTGGAACTGCCTTTGCAAAAACTTACTCAATTCTACATTACGTCAATACAAGTGGAATGTAATTTGAATCATTTCATTCAAACCTTAATTGCCATTTTCTGCACTCTTTGCTCCGTATCTCCGAAAAGGCTGAATCAACTTATGCCAAAAACTAATCAGCACGTCTCCTTACAAATGGGAATCGAAGGCTTTTTGAATAACTCAAATCGGTTGGACGGTGCTTCCAAAAACGTCGACGAAAAATTGTATCCATTCACACATACATACTACACATACACATCTATTTTTTTCTAAAGTATACCAAAATGTTCAGAAACCTCTGAAACGTAAAGATACGCGGATTTTCATTTTCGATTTTTGGACGATTGCTATAACTTACCCAACGAGAAGTTACTAATATTAGAATTAATATTTAATATAATATTAAACTTATATGTATATGCATGTATGTAAGGTAATATTTATGTCAATATATGAGACAGGATAAGATATACCAGAGTTATGCGTAAATAAATAAAAGAAAATAAATGGATCCTTTCAGGTTTCATGTTACTTTATATAGTCATTTTATGACAGACTCACGTAATGTCACACAAAACCCAGCTTTTCTTGCATATAGACTTTTTAATCTCTTTCATGTTTAAAGAATTACATATTTTACGTTTTAAATCCAAATAGTTTTTTTAGTACAATTCGTATAAAGTAAATATAGAAAATTTACAAAAAATCAGTAACAATGAATTATAGACTAATAATTAGTTGTTAGTCGTGTAACAACTAATTACACGGTAGTAATCAATAATTATTATATGTTGTTTATCATATATATTCCTAACTAAAGTATGAATCAATTAATGATGTGTAAGGTTAAATGAAAAATTCGAAGGTTTATATGCTGAAACCAAGTTTTGCTTAAATTCAAATACATATTATTATTAGTTGATCAAAAACCCAATTAAATTATCCCAGTAGAACATCTTCTTTAAAGGAGGGTATCTCAAGGTTGACCGATTTTTAAATTTTTAAAAATATAGTTCAACAAAAAGTCAATTGTGTCATCATTTCGGTATTGAGCTCTCGAAGCGTACAGATCGTGGAATAATCGAAAACAAATTTAATTCGTCTAAAATTACATAATGGAATCAGGGCCATACGGCGAAGCCGATGCCCAGTCGGACGACATAGACAGTGTTTATAAAATCGGTATAAGTGTAGCAGGTGATACGAGTAGATTATTAACATCGGAAACGTTAAAAAATGCTATTAGCAAAATTAATAAAATGGAAAGTGATTTAACTAAAGTGAATAAAAAAGAAATAAATAGTAAAAGTAAGGCAATTAAAAAAATAAATCATGAAATGTTAAAAAATGCAATAAAACAACAATCAAACAATAAAACAGTTAATGATAGTGAAGGTAATAAAAAAAATAATACACAAAATTGGGCAGAAGAAATGGAAGAAGGCGAAAATAATAATGATCAAAATGTAAGTAAAAATGAAAATAATGATAAAAATCAGGATATGAACTCAAGTATAAAAGGCGATAATTACAAATCAATGAAGTATTCCGAGAATGATATGGGTCCATTTACCATATATGTTGAATCAGTAGATAAAAATACAGTACATCAAATGACAGTAGGCAGAATATTATTTAGCAGTTTACCTCAATATAAAAACGATATTATAGAAATAAAATCCATAGGCATTAACAGAATTAAAATTACGTTTAATACATATGCCGCTGCAAATAAAATAATTAATGAGAAATTATTTATGGAAAAGAAATTAAAAGCATATATACCTATTTCTATGTTGATTAGGAAGGGCGTTATATATGACGTCGACACCGATATGACTGAATCAGATATTATGGAAAATATAAAATCAGAAATTCCTGTTTTAGATATTAGAAGAATAAAAAAAAACAAGACAATGCATTAGTACCAACAAGGGTATGCGTAATAACGTTCAGAGGTCAACGTTTACCTGACCGTGTTTCGATATACGCTGTCAAATGCAGGGTCGAAATTTACAACAAAGTGACACAATGTTTTAAATGCCAAGGAATGGGCCACGTGACTAGCCAGTGTAAAGGTAAAGCGAGGTGCAGCTATTGTGCACAAGAACACAGTTTCAAGGATTGTGTAAATAAAGATAAGAATCCGATTTGTGCGTTATGCAATGGGGAGCATCAAGCTATAGATAAAAAGTGCGAAAAATATTTGTTTCATATGAAAATTAAAAATATAATGAACGAAAATAACATAAGTTTCAGAGAAGCCAGGGCATTTATAAACAATAGAACATATGCCAACGTCATAAATCCGGACATAGAAATCAGAAACAAAGTGAAATTTCCTGAATTGCCCAATACGCAGCAGGAAAAACATGCAGAAATAAATCAACAGCTTGTAACCACGAAGCCTTCAACAACAATATCTAAACAGACATATAGGAATAGCAATTCCATAAACGTAACAAATTACGGTGACAACAACAAAACAATCGAAAATATGTCCAGTACACAGGAGCGAAACAGGTACAAATTTAAATACAATATTAACACAAAACCAAAATCTTCCTCACATATCAATAGTGAGAAAGGTGAAATTCCATTCGATAAATTAATCGAAGAATTAATTATTAACATATCAAAGAAAAAAGATTACACATTAAAAATTCTGAAAGAGTTAATTAAAGATATGGATAGATGACAAAAATAATATATGACAAATAAATGACTGGAAAAATAAAAATACTACAAATTAATTGCAGATCTGTTACAGCTAATAAGGCCAGTATTGAACATTTCCTTTATGAAAATGAAATTTCAATCGCGGCTTTCACTGAAACATGGTTTAAACCGGAATATCAATACTCTTTCAGAGGATATCGAATGTTTCGCAAAGACAGGGAAGATGGATATGGAGGAGCAGCAATCATTGTTAGAAATGACATAAATTGTGAGGAATTTCCTTCAGTCAACAATAATGAGAATATACAAATATGCGCCGCCATAATTAAAACAGATACTCCATTTTGCATTCTCTCAGTATATTGCTCTACTAGAACAGAATTAGATTTTTCAGATATCAAGGACACTATCTCAACAATCAACATGAGCTTTTTAATTACTGGCGATTTTAATTGTCATCATATGGCATGGGGAAGCAAATACAATAGCAGGGAAGGTAATATGTTATATGAAATCATAGAGGACAACGCAATACTAATTCTTAATGACGGACGTCCAACTACAGTAGCAAATAAATACAGGAGTGCTACGAACATAGATCTAACACTGTGCTCAGGAAATTTTATAGATACTATTAAATGGGATGTATGCCAAGAGGTATTGGGATCGGATCATTTGCCTATAACAATAACTTTGGAGATAAAGGTGCCTTTGGTCATAAGAACGCGCCCTACAAAAAAGTGGAATATAAAATTTGCTAACTGGCAGGGATACTCCCGAGATATTATGCAATATATCCAAACAGGACAAATCTCAGACGATATAACAGCGAGATATAAACGTATCATACAGATTACCGAAAAATCTGCAGAGAAAAATATAAAACAATATAAAGAAATTAAGAGACCGATTTTTAAGCCAGCGATATGGTGGGATCAAGATTGCGAAAAAGCCATTTCAGATCGAAGAACAACATATAAAAAGATGCGTCAGCATTGTAATTACGAAAACTTCATACAATACCAAAAAATCAATGCACGCACTAAAAAGTTTTTGAAAAACAAGAAAAAAGAAAGTTGGCTGAATTTCATTAATTCCATCAATCAGGACATGAGTCCCACAGTAATTTGGAACAAAATTAGACTTTTTAAAAATAAAAATAACATTATAAACACAACACAAAAAATTAAAAAAGAATTTGGGCAATTACTATTACAAAATTATGCACCAGACTTTGTTTCGGACAATCGTAAAGAAAATATAGGAGTATATTGTGAAGAAAGCGCACTGACAAGGAATTTCAAATTAGAGGAATTAGAGGATGCATTAAAAAAGAGGAAAAATACGGCTCCTGGATATGACAATATACCGTATACGATGATAAAAAATTGGCCTACGGAAATGAAAATTGAATTACTAACTGTATTCAACCAAATCATAGCAAATAATTGGATTCCCGAAGAGTGGAGGAAAATTATAATAGTTCCATGTATGAAGCCACACAGAAGACCCTTGGAAATAGACTCATATCGACCCATTTCCTTAATATCATGCATCGCTAAAACTTTTGAAAGAATTGTAAAAGAGAGAATAGATAGATATATTGAAAATAAAGAAGTTTTAAATAATTCTATGTTTGGTTTCCGGAGAGGGAAAAGTACGTTGGACTTACTGAGCAAATTAACAAATGATATACATATATCCAATTCGTATAATCAATATATGTTGGTAATCTCGATGGACATAGAAAAGGCGTATGACAATGTAGATCACAATATACTGGAGAAAAAATTAAAACATTTAAATTTACCACACAAATTAATTAATGTGATAATTAATTTACTATCTTTTAGACAATTATATATTCGAACCGACTCAGGTCTAATTGGCCCTAGAGTTATGAACAAAGGTCTCACTCAGGGTTCAATATTGAGCCCCATCTTGTTTAATATATACATGGCAGATTTTAAAGTAGTAACAGAACCGAATGTTAAAAAATTGCAATATGCAGACGACATTTATCTGTATGTATCTTGTCCAACTATGGATAGATGTATTTCATCGATGAGCAATGCTATCGAGGAGAGCAGAAGATGGTTATTGGACAATAACCTGAATTTATCACAGGATAAGTTTTCTGCAGCTATCTTTACCAGACACAGAAAAGAACATACTAGGAGACAAATAAGGATAGGATGTCAGGAGATACAAATAAAAGAAAATATTAAAGTTCTGGGCATCAATTTGGATAAGAAAATGAATTTTAAAAAGCATGTAGATGATATATTAAGCAAATGTGAAAAAGGATTAAATGTTCTCAGAAAAATAACAAGCATGAAATGGGGGGCTCACCCAGAAACTTGTCTCAATATATATAGAAGCCTAATAAGATCACAAATAGATTATGGTTACTTTATATATGGAGCACTCTCAACGAATATCCAAAAAAGTTGGACAGGATTCAATACTCGGCGATAAGAACATGTTTGGGGGCATTTCGATCAACTCCAACGAATGCATTAATAGCTGAAGCAGGTGAACCTCCACTAAGCATTAGAAAGCAGATCCTATCAAATAGATTCTTAATAAAAAAATATAATGGAGCATGTGATGATATACCGAAACAATTAGAAGTATTAGCGAGGCTACATTTTACCAATATATATTGGAGAAATAGACCAATCCCACCCTTGATAAATAGCTTTTATGAGCTGAAACCATACGAAGAGGATGTAATAATGAATAAAAAGTTGCCAATTTATCATCTTACGAATGAATACACATCAACAAAATATTGCATAGTAATGGATATGGATTTAACTCACTTGACACATTTGAATGATACCGCAAAAAATAAAGAATTTCAAAATAATGTGGCTAGAAGATGGCCAGGATATGTACACATTTACACAGACGGATCTAAAGCAGGGTACAGTTGTGGTTGCGCTATATTTGTGCCATATCACAATTTTAGTAAGAGAATTAAGCTACCAAATTATGCGTCTAATTACACAGCAGAAATGGTGGCTATATACTGTGCTGTAAATTATGCGTGGGAGAAAAACATCACGAAAACAATTATATTTAGTGACAGCAAAGCATGTATATCAGCGATAGCGAACCCAAATAGAAGATCAAATAACATGATAATAGAAATTATAAATAAAATGAATGCAATAAATAATGGCATAAATTCTTTAATATTGACGTGGATCAGGGGACATTCAGGTATCACAGGAAATGAGATTGCTGATACTCTTGCAAAAGAAGCTGGTCAAATTGGAGTACAATGTGAAAAAATACCTGCGTTGGAGCTGAAAAATTTAATCAAAGAGCGGAGCATAGATGTGTGGCAAAAAGACTTCTCAACGTCAACAAAAAGCAAGGGTATAATTTATGCCCTGTCAAAAGAAAAGGTATCTCAAACAACCTGGTTCAAAAATGATACAAGCAGTAGGAAATTCGTATCAACAATTACAAGATTAAGGCTGGGGCATACAATGTGCAAGATTCATCTCTGGAGGTTAGGAATAATCCAAGATTATATATGCCAATGTGGTGACGAACCGGAGACAATAGATCATATGTTCTGGGAATGCAGAATGTATGAGAATCCAAGAAGAAATATGTATCAGAAACTGCAAAAAAAAAATATTATATTTCCAGTAAACACACAAGTATTAATATCTAGTAATAATGTAGATTTATATAAAATTGTATATAGTTTTATAGATAATAGTAAAATTACTGTATAAATACTCAATAATGTAAAATTATAACTGGCGTAATGATCGCAAGATCCACAGCCACGTAAAATAAATAAAAAAAAAAAAAAAAAATTGTGTCATTATTCTTGATTGCGGGTCTAAAAATGTTATTTACAAATACAGATAATAAAAATTATAAGATAATAAAAATTATCCACAACAATCGAGAAATGGTCAAATTCCACCAAAGCTCTAAGATGTACATGAAAGCTTTTATTTTCCAATCAACTTAAGAATTTGTTTTTCTGTTACAGTAACTGTCAGTTCTGTGACATATATATAATAAATTTTGAAGTTAAGTTTTGTTCACATCGGTAACTTTTAACATAATAAAAAGTTTTTTTTTAAGTTCTTTTACCCAAATTTCATAAAACCACGACATAAAGCCTCATGCGCGTTAACTGATTATATTTATTCATAAAAAGTTAAACTGTCACCAAAAGTATGATCAATATCCTATAAATTATATCCAAAGTTCAATAACTCTAAAACTGAAGTAACATCAATAACCATATAAAACTATATAGTCGCATCATTTATTCTATACTACATGTAGGTCATCGGAATTGGAACGCATAATAATTATGTAAAAACGAATTTAACTGAATTAAGTTTTCATTCATAATTCAAGAACTTTAATTTATAGATGTTATAGGAGCAAAATATAACTTCGTTATTTACCAAAATATAAAGAGTTGAATGTCTGTAATTAACTTCATGGAAGCGAGAAGAAAATGACAATTTTCCGCTATAGTTTTATTTCGAAGTTTTGACTGCTACGAAAGTTTTCTTAAAGTAGTAAATCATTAAACTTTTTATGCTTTGTGAAATTGAAATTGAATTTAATCTTGGATGTGAAAAATGTCGAATTGATTTTATAAATGAGCGAATACCTATTATATATTATATTGTTATAAAACAGTAATTTTGCATAAATCAGCAAAAAATAGCATGATTGAGTAATTTAGTTATCTATTGCTGATTGATTTATTTAATTAAATTTTGGCAAATAAAGTAAAAGTAAAAAATAAAATATGGTTAAAAAAATTAACAATAATTTCAGTTAATACGACCAAATAGAAGTTATTGCGTGCTTTAAGGTCTACGGGATAAAGGTCCAACATTATCTCGATAATTTGCAAAGTAAAATTTTTTTAAATATACGTTTTAAAAGTAGAAGCCAAAACATGTGTAACTAGCCATTGCTTTATTTATTGCAATGTCCTTATCAGGAGATATATAGAAATGTATCAATATTCATACCAATAATTAGCTTTTCTTCATAGTTTTTTTTCGGTTTTGAGCTCTTGTATTTAGTTTATAATATATGAATATAATTTTCAGGTATACGTTATTCAACTGTTTTATAGGATTTGTTGTTATTTTTATATTAGATTCTATAGCTTTTTTTTATAAAACCTATATAAAAGCTTACATGTGTGTGGTGTAAAAAGGTGCAACTAAATCTTTACATAGACAAAGTTGTGAACAATAAGAAATGGTAATTAAAAACAAGTTTAGAAAAGAAGAAATAGGTTCATAGTTATTCAGCCTCTGTTGATAAATATTTTTTTCGAAATACCAGATCAAGATTGTATACAATAAAATCTTTGTTAAAATGTTCCCATCAAATTTGTAATTCTCTTTGGTTGAACATTGTAGCCATTGTTTTGTAACCCTTCTAAAATTAAAAAAACAACTGGGTCAGTTTGTCCGTTTGCTGTCTCTTTTTACCCCGCCCATGGAGCAAAATGGGACAGGTGACCAATTTTATAAAAATAGTCAAGAAACATATTTCTATAATTAAGAGTTAACTGAGAATTTTACTGAACTTATTGTAATCCCAAAAAAATCGCATTTCTTTATATTTCTTTACGTTTCAAAGATTTCTTAATATCTTGGCGTATCTAAAAAAAGGGATATATTTGTGCTTGTGTGTGTGTGCGCGGATACAAATTTTTTTCAACGATTTCTGCCGATATAAATTGTTCAAGAAAATATTCTATTCCTATTGATAAGGATTTCAAAGTTTTCAAGAAAAATAAAGGCTTTTTTAAAATTTTTTGTTCGGGAAGTTTTAGCAACTTGCCTTAAGACACGATGCCATGCAACAATAGTTTAGTTTTTATTTAGACAGTGTAATTATTGAAAGTCTACTTGGACCTTTGTGCCCCGTTCTACATAAAAGTTAAATATATACAACTCCAAAGTCGCTTCTAGTTCATAATTTTTGTAACAAGGGTATCAAAAATGACTAAATAGCTCAAATTCAAGAATATTTATAAGACTTTGGAAATCTGAAGAAAAATATAAAAAATAAGGCTATAATACTAATTTAATGCTAATGCAAATCACAAGCTAAAACTTTTAACTTTTTACAAAAGGAAGCGCATTAATTTGGAACTTTATCTATTTCCGTAAAAAAAATTAAAACAAAAAACTTCTTTCGTAGTCTATTTATCTAAATTTGTTTTATATCATGTTCAACTTATCTTATTTATGTCTACATTTAGCTTTTAGTTCCTGCAATTCATTGTACTTGCTCTCGTAAATCGTATGGTCCATTATGCAATGGCAATAATAAAATTTTAAATGCGACGACGCTAAGCAAAAGCGCCGCGAAATAAATTGTGTGCAGTTTTTATCGCGGAATATTTCTTGTATATTAAAATTATGATGTGTATGTTCCGTGGACATTATGCAAATGAGTTACTTGTTCTAATAAGGAACGCTTTTAAATTTTCTGAAACCTAAATGAACTTTTTCATAAACAATTCTAATTGAAATATAATGCGTTTTTTCTATTTGCTTTAATTGAATTTTTTTCAAAGTTTTTGTAAAACTTTTGTTCTGAAGTGTGCTAACCTAAATCAAGAATAATTATTGTATTTTTGTTTCATTTCCATTGCATAAATGTATAAATAAATATGTGTGTTCAATACCCTAAAAAATTTAATTTGTTAAGAACTTACCTATCTCACTCATTTATATTGTAAAACTATATAAATATTAGACTATAATTTCACTAATTAATTGAAGTTTAATATTTTATTATATTATATTGTATCATTTTCTAGGGAACTCTCATCAGCAATTGCTTATAGAGAAAAAATAATTATGATAATGCAATATGGATATCTTTATGATATTTAGTAATTAAATTAATTTTCTTCTATCGATAAGCCTAGGTTCTTTCAATTAAATAATTTTACATTATATATTTCATTTTCTCTTTTCTCTTTCGCCTTTTGTCTTAGTTAAGTTAGATTTTGCTTTATCTGCTTAATCTTCACAAGAAAAGACAAGACACTCAATTGTCATTAATCATCGTTATGATTGAGCTAAAACATCTATGCAAAAACCAATTTCTAGTTATTAAATACTAATGCTCAACTTATAGCGAAATAACAAACGAAGTAATCTATCTGTATACAAATAACAGTTATAATTAAAAGAAATCGAACAAAGAAACTTTTTTTGACTCTTAAAAATCAATGCGGTCTACAGATCATGATATTGTAAAGTGTTGATCCAATGCTATAATGGAAACATCTTCGAACAAACATACTTCATCTTTTTCCTTTTGCAACCTATTTTAAAATCAGTACAGTGTACGACTGGAAATCCTTTATTATACCCTAGAAATCCTGGAATAACGGTCTGCCCTACTTACAATTCAACGTTTAACGTGCATGAGATTTAAATTATTTTCAATTTAATTATGTAATGATATTTTAAATGCAATTAAAATATTATCAACTTTTTGAAGAAAAAGTTTATGTTTTAGACAGAAAATTCTACTGGCTAAATTTACGTATTTATGGCTTTTGAAGACATTCTATATAGTTCGATACCAAAAATTAAATAAAGTATGTAAACAAAAATGTGTATTTTAGTCGCTGTTTTCTTCACTGCAATGATTTCTAAAATATAAAAGTAATTGTTATGAAACTCATTAACCCGTATAGATTAGTTGCGAGACGATCAGCCCAGTTGTTTCTTTATAATTAGCAAAACAATGAATAATAATCCGTCAGAAATTCTGGATCAATTTTAAAAATATCATTTGGAATTTGAGTTGATTAGTTCTTGGTAAAGATTGATCAATCGTAATAGATGGACCGATTCTGCCACATATCAGACCAATGTTATGGCAAGGCTATGTTATGAAGAATTTGGCATACTAATTTGTTCTAAATATTGATAAAATCCATGTAGTTGCTGTGCATTCAGGTGCTTTTGTCAGGTTGTCAAAAAAAAAACCTAATCAAAAACCGCACAAATGTCAAAAATACGATCTTAGATAACAGGGTCTTTCTGACCCAGCTTCATAACATACAAAAGACGTTTCAGATTTAGTTTTAAAATATCATAAGCATACGGAAGCGGTTTGATGGTAAAAATTCACCAACGCTTATAATAATAAACCGTGTCACAACTGTCTACGTCACACAAAGACACAATAGGCAATGAAATGCAAGTACATTCAGACAAATACAAGAGTTGTCTGGAAGATCTTCCAAACCTACTTGGCAGAGAACTACGCGACAACACTTCCAGGGAAAAATTGAAAAAGAAAATCACGTTACATTGAATATGCCAATGTTCAAAATCTCTGACAATGGTCAGAAGATTTTGTTTTTATTTTCCTACAGTTTTACTAGTTATCCATTTCAGAACAGGTGTAAAAATCGCTACAAAAAAGAGTGCGCGTAAGGTTCACACGCGATTGAAGTAAAACTTATTTGCTCCTCAATAATAGCTACTGTACAAGATAGCATTTAAATAAAAATAAATTGAAGTTTGAAGAACTTCATGTAATTAAAATTAACATACATTCATTGACTGCTTGTATTTTTTTACTTTTTCGCTGGCGATATAATCTCATTCTTTGCACAGCTGTAATATCTGTCTTGCCTAAAAAATATTTTCCGTTTAATAACTTCAAAGATTTATAGAAACTACGAATAATATAGAAATAATTTCTAATCAATAAACTTACGCTTAGTACACGGCACAAATGTTTAATTTATTTTATTATTTTCAAGGAACAGGGTAAAATATTCTTGTAAGATTAAGATTGGTACTACGATGTAACTTTAGAATGTTTATTTTTCTGTCGATTTTCTTGTTGATGCCGGTTCGCAAGCAACGACAGATCTCTATTCGCATACGCGACGACTAATCACAATCGACTCGTATAGAAATGATATCATCGAGAGCGAATGACGAATCATTGGCACTCGACTCTTATCATATCTTATCTGCCGTAACGCATTTCCGTTGCATTTGTACGGATTTACACCCTAGTCGTGTCTAAAGAAGTTTTACTTCAAAATAACAAAATTTTGTCACACTTTTTAAAGTTGCTTAAACTAAATTCTAATTGATCAATTCAGCTTCTTGCAACTTGGTTTTAGGCAATAGCTACTTGAAGCAAGATTGTAATTTAGGTCTACATAATGCAATAAACCTCTCATGACCTTACTCTACTAACATTCAATTCCTTTACGACTGGCGTATTACTGTTTGCGAAAATTCTAGAATTAGTAAATGCATGAAAACAAGAAATATTTCCGGGTGTCTTTGTGCCAACTTTTTTCATTTATATTTATTATGATGTATACAAGTAGTACGTAATGCAGAAATCCTCACATGTGTAGGAATATTATCCGGAGGAGGCGGATGTCGGTAGTAGGCGAGTAGGAGAGTAGGCGGTAAGCACGCCATGTACAACGATACAGGAAACGTGCCAGCGGTTAATGATGCCAGGCACATCATTTATTAACCTCCACAAACTTGAACTCACCACGTAAGTCGATATATAGGGACAAATAGAAACAGGGGCGGACTTGTAATTGATTTACCACTATTTTTATTAATTATCTTACATCTCATAAAAATAACAGAGGTCCACAAAAAGAGTGCGCGTAAGGTTCACACGCGATTGAAGTATGTTACTTATTTGCTACTGTACAAGATGTCATTTAAATAAACATAAATACATCATATAACAATTCTGAATAATGTTTATTAGTAATATGGTAACACTCGTGATGCACACATTTATTAGTGTCAACCATTATACACATTTATATAATGATAAATTATAATTTATATATTTAAAATAGCATTAAAAATATGTATAATATTTAAAAACAATAATGTAATTGAAGTCATACATCAAATATGACATGATCGGTTTGTCATTGTAATTAGCATTTAGAAATGAATCTTCATTAGAAAAAAGAAGTAATTGCTAATTAATAAATTCTATAATAATCGTTCACACAGTGGATTATGTTAAACAACGTCTAAGCAAATATTGTTTTTGCAACTTCACTCATTATGTAATTGTGTTTGAAGGACTTCATGTAACTAAAATTAACATGCATTCATTGACTGCTTGTATTTTTTTTTTTACTTTTTTGCTTGCGATATAATCTTATTTTTTGAACAGCTGTAATATCTGTCTTGCCCAAAAAATATTTACCAATTTAATAACTTCAAAGATTTATAGAAACTATGAATAATATAGAAATAATTTCTAATCAATAAACTTACTAATCATTAATCTTATTAATCAATATTTTCAAGAAACAGGGTAAAATATTCTTTTGATTCAGGTATTTTTCTTTAAATCAAGAGATTTGTACTACGATGTAACTCTAAAATGTTTATTTATCTATGCTTATTTCCTTGTTGATATCGTTACGCATACAACACGCCGGTACGCATTCAACGACAGATCTCCAATTCACATACACGACAACTAATCACAATCGACCGGTATAGAAATGATATCATCGAGAGTGAATGACGAATCATTGGCACTCGACTATGCCGTAATGCACTTCCGTTGCATTTGTACGGATTTACACCCTAGTCGCTTAAAGAAGTTTTACTTTAATAAAAAAAGTTGTCTATATTTGTTGTGCGGCGAATGTTTTCCAATTTTCACCGCTGAACACGAATCTTAAGTCAAAATTGGGGGTCAGATGGCAAAAAATTTCCGATCTAGTAATTCTTTTGCATGATACTTAAAACTTATAATTTTTGTCGTTTTTTGGCCCTTTCTACCTTAAATTACTATTGACTATACCACACGGACCACCAGGGATTCATCACAATATTCAAGGAGTTCACGGTAGTTAATGTCATATTTTCTTATATTAAACTATCTACAATGAAAAATCATATACAATGTTTATAAATAAAACTGAAAAAAAAAATCACAAAAGGACTATTGAAAGGCTTGGAAATATTATTCGCGTTTCTGAGGCCTGTCAAAGTATTTCTGGATTCAAAAGATAAAAAATGATTCAATAGTTGTAAAATAGAATTCTCCTGACAGAAAAAGATGTAGATTGAGCATAATTAGCCGGGAGGTGTAAGATTGAACTTCAAAAAATTATTGCCAACTGGTGATAATTAAACATTTTTTTAGCTTACTTTATTTGCCTATTAATATTTTAAATTCAATTAATGAATGTATACAAGTAAACCAAATTTTTACATTATATATTTAATAATAAACTATAGTATAGTTAGGGATTTATCAAATATAGAATCTATATCAGGCCAAGGGAGTCCATGACAAAAGCCAAGATACAAAGATATTTGTGCACATATTGGCTTAAATGATCTATTAAGTTTTTTTGAGAATATAGAAATATTTCACCAACACATTTTCAGATATTCAAATTACAAACATGACTGTAGATTACTCATGGGCTATGGGGAGGAAATAGTTTGCCAATTACTGTACAATTTGTCGTTTTTTATATATTTTTTTCAATGTTTTGCCATTTGACTTCCAATTATAACTTTAGATTCGTGTTCAGCGGTAAAAACTACGTTGGAAAACATATGCTGCACATTCAATACAGATGACATTTTACAGACTTTAATTCTAGTAAATACTTAAGACCAATTGCCACATAACAATTTTCGAAATTATATTTTACATTTGAAAACTTTCTAGTTCCTTCAATATTGGTAATTGAGCGAGTTTCAAAAATTATTAATAATAATGTCAAAAATTAAATAAAGTTTGACTTCCAAGTCCAATTGTTACAACACAAGACATAGACTAGTTTTAGATCTTACATTACAATACTTTAGTTCATTCAATATTGTCGAAGCGCTGGGTATTAAACTTTTTAATAAACTATCTTTTATTACTAAAAAATTATAAAACAAGAAAATTTTCAATTTACTTATTCGTCTTAAAAAGCATAAAGTTTTTTTAATCATTTAAATCGGATGCTCAGTACTTTCAAAACCGCCATTTTTAGCACATTTACTCTGTATCTCCGAAACATCTCGACCTGCTTTTGCTCTACACCCTTTGCTCCGTATCTAACGGCCGGACCTACTTTTGAAATATCAATAGAAATCGAATGTTTTTTTAACCATTGAAATCGGTTGATCCGTGCGCCCGAAAACGTTTATGACAAATTGTATTTATACATACATACATACACACACAAACACACATCATTTTTTTCTAAGGTATGTCAAAATATTCAGAAACTTTCAACACGTGTAAAAATGCCAAAATTTAGGGGAAAATTGAAAAACAGCAGGATTTTTATAAGGGAAGTTAAAAACAGCAAAAAAACTTATTTCTACCATGATAAATTAGCTGGGAGTTTTACATAACATAGTCAGATAGTTGTTTGTTAGTCATGTATTATTTGTTGTGATATAATTGGCTTAGTTTTCACAATATATTTGCTCAAATTGGACTTTTGTGCCCCGCCCCACCCTATACATAATTCAGCCCTGTTTGAATTGTACAGAAGCCGATAACCGAAGAGACGTCCCGCTTGATAAGGTCGATGTGTTTCAATTTGTAGCACTTTTCCGAAGATACATTGTCGAAGGTCGCGACCGTTCAGGTATCGTTCTTACTAACACAAGAATAATTATTAATGTAGGAAATCTGTATAACCTATTTGTTACCTACAAGTAATTTAAAACTGATATATCGCATGGTATTAAATTTAAGATTCTGGCATCACCTTTCATAATTAGCACAAATATATGAACAAGTAGCGCATGGCATCGCGCCTTATTAAGGCAAATTTCTAGAATGTCACGTATCGTAACTTTTTTTTTATTTATTTGCATAGTTTTATTGTCAATCAAAGTAATATACATTTTTTAAGACAATCTGGTGTGATGTTAATGCATTTAAGAGATTATCTCCTATGAAATATCTCTCCTTTTTTTAATTTTTTGACATTTTATTTAAGATAGTAAGGCCATACGTATCGTAACTTAAATTTTTTTAAAACTTTAAATTTTTATTAAAGTTTGAAATATTATATTTCTGAAATTTAAAAAAAAAACGATTTTTTTAAAACATGCACACACATACATATATACAAACATGCAATTCATACATAAATCAATTTTGTGTACGCCAAAATGTTCAGAATTTTGTGAAACATAAAAATATTTGAAAATTTTCATTTTTGTTTCTCTGCCTATTTTGATTACCTACGAAAGGTTGATTAAATATGGACTATATAAAATTTAAAATTTAAAAGTAATTTAAAACTGATGTATCGCATGGTATTAAATTCAAATCACCTTTCATAATTAACACAAATCTAAACTAGTGGCGTATGGCATCGTCTCTTATTAAAAGCTTTAAGGTTTTCTTAATAGATTTTTAAAATTAAAAAAAAAAATAGATTTCTTTTAAACATACATAAACATACATACTTATATACATAGATGCATACATACGTCAATTTTTTCTAATGTCAAAATATTCTGAATGTTTTGATACATAAACATGTATAAAAATTTTCATTTTCGTTGTAACCAGCGAAAAGTTAATGAAATATGAACTATATATTTCAATTATAGTTATGATGTTATATAAATTTGCTTTGTGATTAAAATACTTTATTACTTTTCAACAATTATAGTTAAAATTTAAAAAATACTCGAAAACCAGCAAATAGTTCAAATTGGTTAGGTGAGACATTGGTTAGATGGTTACATATTTAAATTGTCTTTAGTTCGTTAATTAAATTTAGCTTCTAATTATATTAAATAAAATATATAGTTAAAATATAGATCTTGTATTTACACATCTTATTCTCAACAATATTTATTTACAACAGAGTTATTTACAAATTTGAATAATATTGAGTAGCATTGGGTATTATCAAACAATATATAATTAATGGCATTCTAATAAATTAATTTATTTTGCTCTTTTATTTAATTTAATAATATTATTTTTTTATTAATGATGCACTTGAAACGATAAATGAATTCAATTTTTATAAACAATAACTAATAATTATTATTATTAATAATTAAAGTATTGACAAAAGATCATTTAACAGCCGATATTGAGGAAATTTGACTAATTGACTTGAGAAATGAACGAGAGAATTTTTGGTAAATCAAACTATTTACGTTGATATTTTATTTTTACGATCTTCAAATGATCTCAAAAGCGCAAAATGTGATCCCCCAAAGTAACGACGATGTGATCCCTAAGTGCGAAAGAATTATTGACTTGAGAAATAACCTTAAAACTTTATGGTGAATCAAACTACTCATGTTAATCTTTCACTTCTATGATACCTTGTCTAACACATTTAAAAAAAAATCGGTGCGAATGACAAAATACTCCGGCACTTAGAAATCATGTTTGTTACTACCAATGGAATATATAGCTCAAACATTTTGAACTAAAAGCATGCCAATATACTAAGATAACCTGATTTTTAAAAAATGAATGACTGAATTGAAAAGTAATTTTTTCCAAATATTACCCACTACTGCACCATCACCATTACCCAAAAAAAAATTATTTTAAACTTACATATTCTCGAAGTGTTAATGGTTCGTTTTAGAGCTTTTATCGTTGCCATTCGTCTGGCTTCTATTTGACGGTGTATGATCTTCTGTCGGTCTGAACACATCAAGTTGACTCTTTTTGCTTCCCAAAAGAACAGAAAAACCATAAGGCAAGGGTTCATCTCGATCTTGTCCAGATCCATCACTACCATCAGAGATTCCAGTTAAATCTTGCGTGTCAGCCGAACTTTTCCTGCTCTGACTTCTGTACCGCATCGGCTTAGTATCTGCTCCACTCAGTACGAACTTGAATTCTTCAATCATTTCAGTCATTATTGGAGTCTGAAAAACAAAAACATATTTTATACATAATTCAAACATTTTTTTTAAAAAGTCAATTCTTTTCAAAAAGTTAAAATTCACAAAAATCTAACTTTTTCAATGTTTTAAAAAAATTTTATATTTAAAAAAAAAATAATTTTTGGAACGGAAAGTTCCAGCAATTTGCCTTCAAGCACAATGCTATTCACCACTACTTTATGGTAGTTCTGTCCATTGCAAAAATTTATATTAAAATAATATGCATGATGATCACGAACACTAGCAAACGGTCACAATTATATGAAATTTGGCTTTAATATGCTATTTATGTAATGGTCGCGTTTTTACTATGTAAAACTTCTAACATAATCTTGAATAAATATCATAAAACGCGTATACCTGAAAACTTGTTTGGCAATATTTTATTAGCTATAATCTGAGTATATGCATGAACAAAAATAGCAGAATCCTACATACATTTTGCGTTTGTTTTTCTATGCATTGCTATTTATTGATTCTTACTATGTAAAAGCCAAACAATGAACATAATAATAGAATATAAATTACTGCAATTTATGTATATATTATATGTGGTGGACCTGGCAGAAATGACAAAGTTACTCTGATTAAGACCAGGTACAGTGTACAAAATTGTAAAAATTAGAGCAAAGTTACCAAATATGAAATAGTATCCTAATATAGAATATCTTCATTTTTCTAAGACTATAAGTAATAAACGCAATACTCGTATTACCAGCTTTTATATTTGTATACACAAGGGTTATACTATTTAGTATATCGGTATTAAGCTTATTTTACCATTTTGTGATTTTTATTTATTAAAATATTCTGACTTGAAAAAATATTTAGAAGAATTTAAACTAGTATATAAATCCAAATATGGACAGTCGTCGGTGTCTAAATATGGAATACTAATAAATATGGAATATATATGCCAGAGAAATTAATGTCCATTTTTGTTATTGTTATGTTAAATCATGCTTATATTCCATATATGGGTACCCATTCCATATTTGGTTATTCATTTGTGATTTTGTTTTATGTGCTAGATTTTAATTAATAACTAATATATTTGATTGAAGGCTGTTAATTACTACTTAAATATATGATTAATTAATGAAAACATTGAACTGATTTAATTTATATGAAATGTTTTTTGTATGCCAAAAACAAAACGATATTCCTTATTTGGTGACTTTCCTCTACTATTAGAAGAATGGAGTTACGTGAATTACTCTTAAAATAGTTTGATGTAATAAATATGTATGATTTCATACCTTCAGTCTTCTTGCTTTCATTATCACATTGAAAATTAATTCTCCAAGTACTATGAAAATTGCCATAGCAGATCCGACTACGAGTACCACAAACACGCCGCCCACATTTGGTATACCTAAACGATCAGCACCACCTGATGCTACTGCGTCAGGCTAAAAAAATATTATCTAGATTAATATTTTGGGTTAATAAAAACAGAACTGTATTAGGTAAATGTACTATTTCAAATATAGAATGACCCATTATATCATTTCTTCAGAATTTATGAAATTATTAATGAGCAATGTATAAAATGGCAAGTCATCAAGATCTATGTCATAATTATCTTTTCTAAACCAATCATTTTTTAAATAATATTTAATAATTTATTATTAATGAGTATGAAGCTTAACCTTTCAACTCAACATAAATCAATAAAAATTGCAAAGAAATTTTTTAAATTAATATTTTATTAATCTTACCGTACAAGCACCACCACCGTCCTTTTCCTTCCACCATCGCCTCTTCATTTGTGCTAATGTACCTTGTTCTTGAAGTTTTAGTACTGCAGCACTCAATGTATGTCTATATGGAGATTCTGAAATCAAATAAGATTAATTGTTCATAAATTGAATTCATATATTTAAATCATTTTATTAACCACGTCCACCAGTTAAGACACGTTATGTGTTATGTGTTTATTTTGACTGTTGTTCATTTTAACTTAGGAACCATAAATAACATTTCTAGAACCACAGTCAAAAATAATGACAAAACTGCCCGTACCGGCAAATTGCTGAAACTTCCCATACCAAAAATGTTTTTTTTCAAAAAAGATTAACATTTATGAAAAAAATTCCTTTGAAAAAAATTGGATTTTTGAGAAACTTATAATTAAAGAAAAAAAAAATTGAAAAAAGACTTTTTGAAAAAAAAAAATGTTTTCTTTATTTTGAAATATTTTGCGTGTTCTGAACTTTTTTTAAAGCAATCGTACTGCTTTAACTGCATAGAGACGAAATATAGAAGCGCATAAGCGCCACGTCGCCGTCTAACGGATAAACATCGGTACGGAACCGATATAGGAATGTAAACAAAATTTATACTTATTGTTAAAATCTCTATAAAATATCTTATAATTTTATGTGCATATGTCTAATGATCATTTTTGACACCCAAATGGCATTTTTTTTTACTTTTTTCACTAGATCTCCGAAACCGCTAGACCTGCCTTCATGAAAATTTAATCAGTTGTTTACCTTGTCAATACAAGTAAAATATTTTCTAGGTTATTAAAATCGGAGACTCCGTTCTCCTAAAATTTACCGTTTGTGGGACTTTTTGCCTCGTATCTTTGAAACGGTTAGACCTGCCTATGTCAGAAACTAATCAGCACGTCTCCTTATCAACAGCTATCGAATGTTTTTTTGAATATTTGAAATCGGTTGAGACGTGTTCCCAAAATCGTCGACGAAAATTTGTATCCGCACACACATACGCACACACATACGCACACACACACGCACACACATACACATACATCCATTTTTTCTAAAGTACCTATGCTAAAATGTTCAGACACCTCTGAAACTTAAAGATATACACAAAATTTCATTTTCGATTTTTTTGCGATTACTATAACTTGCCCAATTACGGGAAGTTAAAAATTTGAATACAATTTTGTTATTTTTTTTCTATATTTAAAAATAATTAATTTCATAAAATTTCATAAAATGTATAAATTAAGAAAAATCTATTCAATAGAAATGATTTAGAAAAGTAACATTCCAGTAACATTATAAACATGGGGGGTAAGCTTAGAACAAATGCGCTTTACTCTGTTTATAACCAGGTTTATCATTCATATAATCATTTATTTTTATATTATATATTTATATAAATTTTATCTAGAATTAAATCTAAGGGTAAATTTATGTGCTACGGTAGGTGTTGACCTCTATGATATGCTGAAGCAATTAAAATTGAGGTAATATCAGAACGGCAGTGTTTGCGTTATATTTAATTATTTATACTTTTTTATATGATATAATTATAGATATTTATACGGCTCGATTGTGACTCCAACACATCTGTAGATGTGTTTGATGTAATATATTACATATTGTCACCCATCAATAGATGTATTAGATGTAATATATTACATTGTCACTCATCTATACATATGATTGATATATTATATAACATATTGTCACACATCTATGGTGAATGTAATATATTACATATAGTCATGAATTAATTAACTTTTGAGAAATTTCCATAAAAATTTTATTATTCCGAATGCCTTACTTTTCCTCATAGCAATTCCGTATCCTTTGTCATCTAATAACCCTCCAACTTGCGTTAAATCACACTGACGCTCAGTTATGTATTCGATGGACGTCGACTCCATGAGAAATGCATAACCTCCTTCTTTGACACGGGCTTGCCCTTCCGGATTACTCGATGTCATCTGATCTGGGTTATCCATCATCACCCGGTACATTTTTTGGTAGGGCTCGTAGACGGCATCCTGGAGGGATTAATAATTTTATTAGATTTGATTATATAATAATAAATTATATTTCATTATGTTGGAAGGAACATTTTAGTTCCTTTGTATTGGAGAGGCGATGCTATAATCTATACTACGTAGCAGCATCGCCCCCAAAGAAAGGCATCTTAAACTTCTTTTCTGACGCAATATACATTTTTTTGCAAAAATATATCCAACGTATTTTTCAAAGATCCTAAAGCATTTTTTATTATATACTGTTTTTTGCCAATTTTTTTAATGCTATTACAATAAATATTATTCTATTTAAATAAAACTACTTAACCCTGAAAAAATTGACAGTGGATCCATCCCTCTTGGCACCGTATTTGATAGTTTTGTGTTCAGCTAATTCCTCAGCATTACTGAAGGCGACTGATGTTGGTTCTATGGTAAGAAAAGCAGCCAAATTTGCAGTATAGGATGAAACCATAATAAGGGTGAAAAACCACCAAATACTAGCCACCATTCTCGTTGAAGCAGCACTTTAACAAAAAAATCCAATTTCAAATTTTATTAAATATACAAACGAATATTTTAATATAGGAAAATTAACTAACTGATCGGTACAATTTACAAATAGCAAATTTTAAAAGTCTACCGATAAGCTAGCCATAATTTTATTTTATTAATATCAAATAATTAAATTTTATTAATAAAATTTAATAATATTAATTAATAATATTAATTAATATCCTCTTTTTATCCCAGGAGATTTTTTTTCTAATTTGAAAAAGAAAGACTTTTAGCTCGCAATATTGAATTCATAAATAATTATAGGTGAATATATAACTCATATCTATGAACGTGTCTATTCGGACAAGTATAACAACTACCGAAATTATAAAATTAAATTTTCATGAAAAATCTATATCTAGATTCTGTGATAAATAAATGCTATAGTATAAAACGTAAATTAGAAATTTATTCTGTTTAACGACTATACTATAATCTACAGAATGCACACTATAATTTAAACCTATAAATTATATATAAATTTATAGAATTGTTTTTAGAGTATTTTCAGATGATAGAAAAAATTTGATTCCTATGGATAGGGAGATGTGCTGATTAGTTTTTGGCAAAGGCAGCTCCGGCAGTTGCGGAGATAAAGATCAAAGAGTGCAGAAAATAGAAATCGGAGAAATAGAAGAACGGATAATCCGATTTGAATGATCTAAAAAACATTCAATCGGTAATGATTGGGAGAAGTGGTTCTTAGTTTTTGGCAAAGGCAGGCCCAGCTATTTCAAAGATACAGAGCTAAATGTGCAAAAAATGGCAGTTTTTGAGAGAACTAAGCGTTCGATTTAAATTATTCAAAAAACTTTCTGCTTGTTTTATTAAAATAATTGATTTTGGAAAAAACATTTTTGTTTCAAAATTTTTTTTTCAAGAAACATTTTTTTTTGTATATCCAAAATAATTCAGATTTTATTTTTAATTCTGACTAAATTATATAATTATTACTAGCGCCCTAGTAAAGATTGATTTTACATGAAATCTGGATAAAAATCGGTGTTTTAGTAAATTTTTATATGAAACTTATTGTCATGAACAATCCTATGGTATAACATGATATAACATAAGCAATCCCATAGTGAATTGTTATGTTAAAACAGATAATAAAACTATAGAGAAGAATTTAATTTAATATGAAAATTCATGCCATATAGGAAAGGTTTTAAATAAAACTTTAGTTAAAAATAAATATCTATATCTATCTGGCCAGCTTTGTTATATGAATATATAAAAATCCATGTTCTATAAGGAAGAATTCTATATAAAACTTGAAACAGATAATAATAAATCTCGATATCTATTTGTGCAACTTAGTTATAAATAAAATATGTTTAAAAATTCATGCTATATAGAGCAAAATTTAATATGAAACTTAAAACAGATAAAAATACATATCTATATCTATCTGGCAAACTTGGTTGTATATGAAAACTGTATGAAAATCCATGTCATATATAGAAATATTTCATATAAAACATAGAACAGATAAAAATAAATATCTACATCGATCTGGCTAACAAGCGCATATAACAATGAATTATATCATTTGATAGTAGCTAATAATTTATTCAAAACTATATAAGAATTGAAATACTAATAATATTTAACACAACCGTGGACTTCAATGCAATAACGTTTATTTTCATTGTGATGCAGAATGACATAAATGCAGAATGCATTCAAATTTAGTCTTGAATTAGATTTGGCAAGCACATTGTGTGGAAGAAAAGCGCTATATTTGACGTGGATGCTATAGCATTCATTGTATACAACAATTAAAATATGGTAATTTGACTCTCCTAGTGTTTAACACTATTCCTACCGACATTTCATGTTTACTATTCCTACCGCGACCGGTCAAATGACCGGTCATGCAAAATCTATTTTTTTCAGTATTGATTGAAGAGTTAATGCTAGTTTAAGAGTTTATAAATACAAATACAAAATATTTCTTTTGTTTTAGAATGGGAAATCAGCATTTTATTCTATTTTATCCAATTTTTTACGATTTTTTTTCTTAGAGTGTATCTTCTCCACACGCATTTTTACGTTTTTGGCTGATTTTGTTCGCCCTATCATCTTTATGAAACATTATCTGGAATATTTTCTTTTAGGGAATCTGTTTTGTATTTGTACTTAGTTGATTTTTTTCTGAATTCTTGTTGGAACTATACGGGAAGTTAATTGGAATAGAAAGTCTCTACCTTGTACATCGTCTTCCCGTAATTTCTTTATGTGAAAACAATGGATTTATCATGAATAAATACAAAGTAATGTAAATCTTTGATAAATTCTCTCTAAAATTCATATTTTACCGAATGATTTTTGGCTACTTTATGAATAACATCTACACCAAACACGACGCTAATACCAATTGAATTGACCCCCGTATTAGTGTAATTTTTACAACATATGTGTATGTAAGTGAAAATTAAAATCTTCTTTCTTAGCTTCCAAAATTGTAAATATTATTTGAGTGAAGTCCTTGATTTTTAATTCTACCAGTATTTGTAGATGTTAAATTGCTTCAATTGTACCTACCATCACAATTTCTTTTTTTACTAAAAGTTTAGATATAAGTAGGATGGTAAAAACGTTTAAATTTTTTTGCATCAAACTAGCGATTTTGATAATACGGTTTCATTGGTTATAAATCTTCAAAGAATTTCTCAGTTTTCTACGTATACTAGACGGTTATCAAAATTTTACACCCCATTTGTGCGATTTGCTGGGCATAATTATATTTACATCGTATATTGAACAGTTACTAGAATTTTATACTACGTTTTCCTGAATATTATTGAACATGTGTAGATTAAATTTACACCTTACCTCTATTGAAAATATATGTTTGTCGATAATAATACGTGGTCTTTTTCAACAATTTTGATTGCTATCAATGTAGTTGAACCAACCTTCGGATTCAGAACAAAACCTATCAATTTGTTGTTTGGATTTCTTAGTAAAAAAGACATTGAGCAAAAATGAGAAAACCCACTTTGTATACCGTAGAAGTGCAATATTTATACTCCTTGCCTCATATGCGCAGCGTGCATACAGAATTGGAAAAAATGCATATAAATTTGCAGAAGACAGTTTTTACCACTCTAAATTCTTCTGAATTTACATTTCCTCGTAAGTTCGATCATATTCTTAAAAATTACTACAAAAAATGCCGTCCGAACATCGTCTTTCGTACTACCGGTCAAATGACCGGTCGCGGTAGGTAAGGCAGTATACAATTTTTTTTACAAAAATAAAAATTGAAAATACAGATTTACATTGAAAAATGTATCATACTCACATATTAGGAAAAGTCATGAAGTTTGATGACGATTCAATTACGTTCAATATGAAAAATACTAATCGAAAAATCAAAAACGGTCATTTGACCGGTCCCGGTAGGAATAGTGTTAATCAAATTCCAGATATCACAAGAAATTTAAAAACAAAAGGTCTATCACTTTTTGTTCCTTGCTGAAACTTTTAAAGTCCGCGAACATTTTAAAATCCGAAAATCTTAAACCTTCCACCTCTCGTATTTCAATATTTATCAACATGCATCCGGGCGAGAAGATATGCTCACTTACATCGGTGCAATTTCAGTTCCTTGCTGCATGAGCGATCCTATAGTGAACCAGAAAGAATTCTTGATACTGAATTGATTGTACAATAACTCTGGCTCTTCGATACAAGGAAACGGGTTTTGCCATTCGGCCGGTGATATACGGCCGAGGATAAACAACAGTATCGAGACCCCCACGTATGATCCGCCAAGATAATACCAGACCTCGGTCGAGAAGGGCGAGGCGAACGAAAACAATGAAGGTGGTTGTTTGGTCGAACTCTGGTACAGGATGGTGATGCCTGCAATGGAGTAAGTGCATTCTATAATTCATTTTGGGATTATGTTCAAAATGGAATAACATCTTGGTAGATTATGGTACAAGACTTATTAAAACAGTGAAGAGATTTCTGTGCATTTTTATAAAAAACTGAATAAAATGCATACACTTTAAAAATAACTAGCATTCTTGTAACAAATTTGCTAGAATAGATAAACATCAAGTAAACAAGTAACTGATGGTGCAAGGCAATGTGCCTTTCTTCGAACTACCCTTACCAAATATTAAAATTAAAATAGCTTTAAATTTTTTTGAAAACTTGGAAATAAAGACTATAGAGATTAAAACTTAGAAAAAAATAGATTTTTAAGAATTTTAAATTTTGTGAAATGATCATTTTTGACTGCCAAATGTTTTTTTTTAAATTGTGTGACTTCAGAAATCAAAACAGTTCTTCATTCCATCAATACCAATAAAATGTTTTTGAATCATTCAAATTGAACGGACCGTTCTCTCAAAAACTGACTTGCCATTTTTGGCACTTTTTGCCTCGAATCTTCGAAACGGCTGGACATGTTTTGCCAAAAACTAATCAACACGTCACCACATAAATACAAATTAAATGTTTCTTAAATAAATCAAATCGGTTGATTCGTGTTACCAAAATCGTCGACGAAATTGGCCAAAGGTGTGCCAAAATGTTCAGAAACCTTTGAACCGTAAAGGTATTCAACAATTTTTGATTTTTTCAAATTATACTATAACTCACGCTATGCAAAGTTAAATATTACTATAGTTATTCTCATTTGTAATATATTGATTATTTGAGTTTGCTAGTATGTTTTGCTAGTTTCGGTTTCTGTATTTATAAATTACTTGAACAGAAAATTTCTTTTCACAAGAAATTCCGATCTGCTAATTTTATATGTTTTTGAAGCTTTAAGTCATTCCCAATCATTTTTTTTATTTTATTTTCAATACCAATCAGAATACATGACAATTCTATGATCTATTTGCCTTATGTCATTCACTCGCACACATACACACACACTTTCAAGCACACATATAGATTAATCAAGTAAAAAATAAATATTACAAAAATGCTCAAAAACTGCATCGATTTCAAAAATTTAATAGACATTCGATAAAACTTGTTCATTAATTTTACAAGAAGACCGGCCAAACTGTTTTTTTATTCTCATCTCATCAAAAAAGTGTATTTTTTGTGATTGCTTATAGATTTTATTCAGGATTTTGATGAAACGTTGCATAATGATAGATATCATGATCTCAACAGACATCCTAGAATATATTATATAGTCTACGAAAAAATAGTGTAACACGTTAATCGCCACGATAATATCACAAAAATCACATGATCCGTGGTAACTTTATTAGAAATTTAATTAAACATATCTCAAGTAAACTTAATGCATCAGCCAAAATTCCTGAAAACACTTCTTTATGTCACACATATATGACTGACATGGTCCAATATTAAAACTGTTTGAATGCAAAACGTGATTTTTACCTAATTAGACATTTTTTGTCTGACATGGCTCATGCAGAACTTCTTAGCCTCAGACACAAATAATTGACATGGCGATTAGCATATTAAGTAGAAAATTTTATCACATTTTGAAAAAAATAGACCGAGTCAAAATTTCGAAATTTTTCTCAATTCTAATCATTTTTATTTTTTTTAAATGTTTTAAAGATTAAAATAATTAAATTTATCAGTGCACAAGTGGCAAATATTTGCTTTTAGAAATGGACTTTTGCTTAGAAGGTTAATCCTGTTAGTAAATATATATTTGCTCACATATATGTATTTTCATTGTGAGTCAATTTCTAGTAACAAAGTCCATTAATAATAAATCTATTTAATTACTGACTACTTTAATTTTTATAACTTAAGGAATTTTGCGTATCATGTCTTTAATTCATTAATGTTTATATTGATTTTGAATAATAACCTAATGTGTATTACCTAAATTCATAAATGGCATTGTAAAGTCAACTGCGCTTTCTCTGTCCGAAGTAATCGTTAGATCAGTTATTGCCAAATCTGCTCTCTGTAAATATTAAAAAATCATTATTTTACATAATTTAAAATACATGTATGTATGAAATTGAAATTGATTTACATATTCTAATAGCTCTTTAATCATTCCATTCCATTGGCCGGTTTCCCTGTTGAGCGATCCATATACTCCGTCTTCCTGGATTAGGAATGTATACGTGAATCCCAACATTTTTGACAGGACATCGATTAATTCTATCCCGAAACCTTCATATCTGTCATTTCCATATAGTTGTACGCTGGACTTTTTCAACATGCCATATGGAGGACTCTGGAAAATAACAAAAGTATAATACGTCAATTAAAACGGTGAAAATTATTATTGCAATATTAACCCTTTCGCTACGGCGATGTTTTCCGCAGGAGTGGCACTGCTGTATGAGTCGGCAAGCCGCCCAAGTATTTGTTATACAAAATATTTTAAGATTTTACAGTCATTATCAATAAGAAAGTATTTAAAAATAGAAAATTACACTTCTAGAAAAAACTAACAACTACAGTAACAAATTGGAATAGCTTGATAGCAAAGGTTACACACTGGATTGTCTATAAGAACTCGTACACACAGGTCGTCAATCGGATGTCGCCTACAGGCGATGCTCCTAGCGAAAGGGTTAAACCAATCTTAAATTAGTATTTAATATATATGCTTAATAGATAAGAATTCAAGCGATTTAAGAGAACATAAAATACAGGATCAAACTAAATTTAGGGGCCGATTCTGTCGCACAAAAGACCATAATGTTATGGTAAGACCATGTTACGCTTCAACTTCCATACATTATGCTACTGATTTATACTGAGTTCTGTCAAAATGTCATGTATTTGCTGTGCATTCAAGCGATTTACATGTACACTGCAACGCCACTTTTATGTTATGAAGCTGGGTCAGTAAGACCCTGTTATCTAGGATCGTTTTTTTGACATTTGTGCGGTTACTAGGTTAGATTTTCTATCTGACAACCTGAGAAAAATGACTGCACGGCGACCGCATGGCTTTTGTCAATATTTAGTATGAAAAGTTCTTCACAACATAGCCTTGCCATAACATATTGGCCTCGTATCCCTAGTATATATACGCCAATGTGTGTTTATATTTTTTTGTCATATATATTAACAGTTTCTGTTTCATATTTTTAGAAGCAGAATAAAGTTAAATTAAAAAATTAATTAATTATTTCTGCTTACTCATTATTTTTTTGGAACTACGCAAAGACCAATATTATTTCATTACCGAACTATTGGAACGTAAAATAAAATATAAGGTTCTAAATTTGTTTTTCGATTCTTGCTTACTTCGATATAAATTTAGTTTGAATCTACCTTATTTATATTCCTTTATTATCCTTATTTAAAAAAAATATTTTTATATTGAAATTCTTAAGGTTAATATAAAACTCTTCGAAATTTCTCTGAATTCAATTCTATTAAAAATATAAAAATTAAGTTATTTAATAAATAAATATTCAGAACTTGAGCATATAATATGTTACCCAAGATAGCTTTCAAAAATAATAAAATTTGTTAGTAAAACTTTTTACTAACGATTTAAAAATCAAATTAATTTAATTTTTGTTTGTAATTTTTTTGAATATTTTGATTAAATATTAAAGAGTTTTTATTAACTCTTTAGCTTTTCCAACAAAGTTCCTGAATTGTAAAAAAATATTTAAAATAACAATAAAATGATGAAACTAGATTTTTGAATTATTTTTATTTAAGCTACTTTGCATGATTTTTCTTCATTTCTATTTTTCTTATTATTAGTGGTAACATTAACATTAATTCTTATGGTAACAATTCATCAACGTTATTTAATCGCTGGAACTTTTTGAATCAATAATTTATTTAATAAAAAATCTTCAATAAAGTGAAATTTAAAACTTAAACGTTGACCCATACGTTACATTTTACATCGTTAATTTAGAAATTATATTATATTTAATTTTTTGTAATTATAATTTGTAATTTTGTAATTATTTTCTGGTTATTGATTTTAGCTATACATTATAAATTGCAATCGCACATAAAGAAATTTATTAAAAATGAATCATATGTAATTCTCTCTGGGCTTCATAATTTTTTTTTAATTCTGATATTTTTAAATAAATTTAGTATTTTAACCACTGTTGATTTTATCTATATATTTCGCATTGTTTTCTCACACTTGGAAATAAATTGATAAAATTAATTAAATTTTTATCCAGCACATGTAATTTACTGATGTTTACCCGTGAACAAAGAAACAAACTTTGAGCAAAGTAAATATTTGGAACAAAAGTTCTGCGAGTTTTGTTCGATCTCAACAAGGCCCTGATGAAGGAAAAAGTATCATTCAAAGAATACTCTGCAATAGTTCTGAACCTTCTCGAGTACCATCTGTATTTTTACATACCCAAAAACTCAACGGCCTAGTGTCCCTCTTGGGACTTCTAAAATCCTCATACAGGGTGGTATTAAACAGGAATAGTCTTATATTTATCGTTGTATGAAAGTTAAATCGGTACTCACGATTGCGGTCAGAACGATAAACGACATATTCTGCATTGAGGCGCTGCCGACGGCGGCTTGAGGGGGCTCGTAAACTCGAGTGATGTTCAGGCCCTCGGTCGAATTCCATTCCCCGACCTTAATAATGCCAGATGAAGTTAATTCTATGATGTCCAGCTCAAAGTCCGTTCGAAAGCCCTCATTGTCGAATTTAATCGTTCTACTCAAGCCTTCTAAAGTGGTCTGAAATTGAATAACTTACTATTAGTATATATCAATACGAATCATCGACTGATGATTACAAAATTTAACTTGTTAACAAGTTGTATAAACTTCCTGATATTAGTATCGGATCAACCGATTTGAATGATTCAAAAAACATTCGATTCCTATTGATAGGAAGATGTGTTGATTAGTTTTTGGCAAAGGCAGGTCCAGCCGTTACTGAGATAAAGAGCAAAGGGTGCAGAAAATAGAAATCGAGTTTTTAAGAAAACGGAGCATCTGATTTGAATGATCTAAATTTTGAATTTAATTGCTCTACTCAAGCCTTCTAAAGTAGTCTGAAACTGAATAACTTACTATTAGTAGATCGAATCATCATCAATTGATTATTACAAAATTTAACTTGTTGACAAGTTGAATAATCTTCCCGATTTTAGTGCATAATCGGCCGAATCAATTAGAATTAAAGTATTATTGTTACTATTTGGTTAACATTTTCAACAGTATATTCCTAAAATAAAGTTTGCGATTATACATCAAACAAATCAATAGTATTTTCAAATGATATCATTCAAATAGACATAATATCTCTTATTGCACTAATTATATGTATGTCTTAAAAGCGTGGCCAATAATGTATTCTGTATTGTAGTAGTAATGTATTAAGTAATGTAGTAATGTATAATAATGTATTCCAAACTAAAAATTCTTAAATGTGATCGATTTTTTTTAAATTCAACCTTTTTGGGAGCGTCCATGAATCATGTGGGAGTTTTAGGGCAGGAGGGATTTGACAAAAAATTACGAAAACTGACGTGGGGAAAGGAGAGGCCTAGTAAAATATCACAAGAATTATTTTTACATAGTTTAAAAAAAAAATACGATTTTTTGGTATTACATAATTTTTTTTCGAAAACTTTTACGTAACTAAAAATACACGTTATGTTTGGGGGGAGGTTTTTTTTTAATATTACGACGTATCATCAAGAGAGAATGGAGTGCAAAAATCCCTAAAAAATCTATTACGTGATAATTGAAGACTGTAAACTAGGGATAAGGTTTCAAAGTTTAATTAAAATTTAGAAACTAGTAGGGCGCATGGCATCGTGCCTTAAGGCAAATTGCTTTAACTTCCCGTACTAAAATATATTTTTTCAAGAAAGATTAACATTTTTGAAAAAAAAATTACTTTGACAAAACTGGATTTTTGAGAAACTATAAATTTTTGAAAAAAAATTATTTGTTTTGGAAAAAAAATTTTTTGAAAAAAATGTTTTCTTTATTCTGAAATATTTTGCAAGAACTGAACTTTTTTCAAAGCAATCGTACTACTTTAACTGCATAAGGACGAAATATCGAAGCGCGTAAGCGCCGCGTCGCCGTTTAACGGGTAAACATTGGTACGGAACCCATAGGAATGTAAACAAAATTTATACTTATTGTTAAAATATCTATAAAATATCTGATAATTTATGTGCGTATGTCTAATGATATTTTTTGACCGCCAAATGGCATTTTTTTTTACTTTTTTTACTAGTTTTCCGACACCGCTAGACCTGCCTTTATGAAAATTTGATCAGTTTTTCATCTTGTTAATACAAGTACAAGGTTTTTTGAATTATTCAAATCAGACGCTCCGTTCTCTTATAACTGAGTTAACGTTTTTGGCACTTTTTGCCCCATATCTTCGGAACGACTAGACCTTCCTTCGCCAAAAACTAATCAGCACGTCTCCTTATCAATACGAATCGAATGTTTTTTGAATTATTCAAATCGCTTCATCCGTGTTCCCGAAATCGTCGACGAAAATTTGTATTCGATCACACATACACACACGCACACACACATACATACATTCATTTTTTCTAAGGTATGCCAAAATATTTAGAAACCTCTGAAAAGTAAGGATATATAAAAATTTTCATTTTCGATTTTTTTGAGATTACTATAACTTACCGTACGGGAAGTTAAAACACAATTATTTACTAAGAAAAAAAAAACGCGGACAATCTTAAAACTAATCAGCAGAATTGCCACATGATATATTTTGAACGTTTTATTAATTTTAAAAATGGGTTCAGAATTTTTGGCAAATACGTGAACCAAAAATGTTTATCTAAAAGACTCTATATATCCTCGCAAAATTGACATGTTCATCAAGTTCCATTGAATAATTTTGAAATTTTTGAAATCTGTGAGCAATTTCTGAGTAAAATTCGACGAAAGATTTAGCTCACTAACAGGCTTATACATACAATTAAACAAATGCTTTTTCCAAAGAATTGAGAATGACTTAAGCATCGAACAAAATTCTTCCCACTCAGGAAGTTAAAAATAAAAACTATAAATTCATAACAATAATTTTACGTAATATCTATTATGTTATTTATTCTGAAAATGTAGCAATTAAGTTCCCGCTCAAATAAATTTGTAAATTTTTATTTGAAATTCATAAAGTGATTTAGAAAGACGCAGGCTCAAAATATTATATAGCATAGAAATTATTACTAATCTCAAACATAATACAAATCTGTAACCCAAAATTATGTTAAAAATAACTAAGAATATCTTTTTTGAAATGAATTTTATTTGTGCCTCATATGCAGTATTTATTGAGAAACGTTCACAAAATATAGAATTTTGAAAATATATTAAATTCAAAAGTGTAAATTGTTCAAAGGTGCTTCAATTTTCTGGAACCGGTTCAAAAATTTAATTCAGATAAGAAAATATCTCAATGAGAAATTAATTGCTGAACTACTATAATTTTACTACTAGTATTGATTTTGGTAGTATCGAATTACAAAAAGGTTAGAATAAAATACAATAAACAGTATTATATAGGTAAACAATAATATTTGATTTATGTTTAATTCATTTTGTGTCGTTTGCCACCAACGTTGGGAAAAACATGTGTATTGGTGTATGTCTGCGAGCCAAATATTTCGACACCTTTTTCCTAATGATGACTCATAGTTTATTAAAATTCAAACGCCATTTGATTAAACTCTTGATAAAATTACATTCTAATCTAATTATTACCGTTCTCATGTAGTTTAAAATACTATATCCATGTTCCCAGCTATCGGAGGCACTATCGCAATCCATAACTTTGGCGGAAACTTGGTTAGAGCTGTCGAGTCGTTAAGCGCAGCGGCGTACAGGCGCACAGAGTCATACAATAGGGCTGCGCTCGATGATATTCGCGATGGATCTAATTCTTCGGGCAGCTCATTTCCTGGTAAATTACAAAAAAATATTAAAAAAAATATGAAAGAAGCTGCATGTATATGCATTTTATTATACAAATTTTACACACAAATATTTATTTTCTTACACCTAATGGTGACAAGGCCCACAACTTTATTGCAATGAAATTTATTGATAAATAAACAATATGGGGTGGATTTGGGCACAAAGGTCCAATTTGAGTTTGAGTATTTATATTGTGAAAACCAAACTAATTATAGCGCAACAATAACACATACCAAACAAACAAGTATTTAACTACCTTCGGTCAAACACCTGAGCTAATTCATCATTGTAAAAATGTGTTTTTTATATTTTTAAAAAAATTTGTTACCTGGTCCTTCTTACCCCATAGGCGGAATGAAATGGAACGGCCAGGCGGCAATAGCTCCAACGGCTTATTTTTAATTTTAAAGGAATTTCACGAAATAATAGATACATTATTCAACCAATAAATTTCATTGGTATATTTTTACAGAGGTAATACTGTAAACAACCATCATCTCGTATATCGTTAGAAATATTCATCAGCAGAGTTCACTCATAAGTTTAATACCTGTGAATGCATTGCTGAACCCGTATCAGTTACGTTTTTGTTGCTTTGGTATTGCAACACATAAACACAGTTACCAATTAACAATACAGGAATATAATTATATTGTTATAATGTATTCGTTGAAGAGCACATACTTTTATTATATCTCATTCTTTTATTATATATATATCTTATAACTTTTAAACTATTGGATTAATATGAATGATGTATTTCGAAAATATATTTAAAATTGAATAATCGAAAATATTTTCTAGTATTATAAAGCCCTGCAGGCATTTGGAACTTAGTTTTAGATTGTAGTTAAAAAAAATGTACGGAATCCTATTGGGTTTTATGGTCGATCACTATGATATTTGTTAAGTGCTCATCGAAACCTTTCTATTGAGGTCATAGGTGCTATATGAGGTCACCAAGGGTCTCTTTGACCCGCTGTACTATGTATACTAAGGCACAATCAGCACATGTAATTACCGGTTTATTTATTTATTTTAACTCTTGTAACTTTTAAACCACTCGTTTAATCTGAATGACGTATTTGACAAAAATGTACAAAATTAAATATACTACAATATTATTTTTTATAAATTTACTCATTTTAACTAAATTTACATTTTTATTTAGTATGTTTTATTGTTTACGCTTTCGCCAGGGTAAAGGTTCGGTTGGTTCTTTTTACCCCACCTATGTGTTGTTTTTTGCAAAAGATTTATAAAAAAAAAACTGTTGAATCTAACTCAAAACTAACAATACATCTTATAAAATAATTAAATAACGTGTACTTAAGAATTATATTAAGGTCTCGTAAACTAAACAACCGTGCTTGAAAAAAAAATTGAAATAAAGGCATATACTCTTACTATAGATTTAAAAACATTGCCGTTTATATTCTGATAGCAACGTCGTAAAATTTAAGGTGATAATTGGTTATACATCTTTTCCCTTTTACTTTCAAATATTGTTATTAGAAAATTCTTAACTTTACTTGTTTGTAAAATATTGGTAGTGCAACTTTTTACCCGCGGATCTTTAAGCTTCGCTCTACCCTAAATAAATGAAGCGGGTTATTCACAAAATCCAAAATGGTATTATTCATCAATTCATAATTTAAATCTGCATTTGTTTAAGTCATTTACTTATATTCAGAATATAATTATATATATATATATATATATATATATATATATATACATTATATCACTTATATGTTATTGTTATTATCCAAAATGAGTATTATGATTGTATATAGCATTGTATCTTATTTTTTACCAGCGGCTATTTTTTCTTTCTGGATATTTTTTGGCAATAATTTTATTTTATTATTCCAATCAATACAAAGCAATGTTTTCTGTCAAAAGTTGTTAATGCAATTTCTAAACATCGCATGCAATTTCGAAAATAAATCAGCTTAGTAATTACATTTGACATCAATATATAAGCATAAGTTTTGGGTTCACAATAATCATCAGACGTGAGAAAACACTATAATCTCTCACCAAATGCCGTAGATATATTAAAAGATTTTTTTTATCAATATTCGGTTATATAATAAATTAAAGCTCTGTAATTTAAAGTCAATAAAACTAGAACGGTTGACAGACTCAAAAACCCATCTGGTCCTTCAGAGAAGCAATCAATATTATCTTAATAAAAAACAGAGGCAATAAAAAAAATGGACTAATGAACTGCAACAATGTGATTGCATGAAACGGAGATTATTGTAGTAAATAATGTTATTTTGCTGTGTTTTACTTAACATATTGAATAAAATATTGGCCAAGTTTGACTTATGAGAACTGATTTAAAATCATAAATCATGTACAAAATATACTGTAGTTGTTTTATCAATATAAAGTATAACGGCATGTAGTATACTTCCGCACAAAAGCGATTACTTTTGGTGGACAAATTTTGGAACATCGCCAAAGAATCATATTGATTCCCATAATATCAATAAAACTTTCTCGTAGAACAGCAAATAATGACAATAAGTAAGACAGTTCTGTAATTTACTTTTTCCGGTATAAAAAAACATACAAATATATTTACATAGTAAGTAACAATTTGTATAAATATATGAACATATATAATAGTAATAACGGACATCATGGGCTTTTGTAGTAACATCATAATGAATTTCTAAACCTTATAAATTCATTAATTGTTCACCAGGAATAAATTTGGTCAAAAAATAACTTCTTAATGCATTGTTTTGCTTGCTACACTTTGTTTTAAATACTGATGGTTTCTTCATATAAAAATTAACTAATTTTTTATTATTATTATTACATAAACTTTTAAAGATGCATATTCTATGTGCTAAATGTATTACCTTTCTTTTTCTCGTGTGATTCCCACATTTCTTTAGTATTTTTCATAAACGGTTCTTCAGGATCAACAATTCTTAATCCTGTTATATTTGTTCCGCCGTGTTGAAAAGGCTCTAAATCTATGGTATGGAAATCCAAAGAAGTAATTATGTATTGATGTTGATCCGACATCAATCCTACCTATCAAAATAAAAAAATAGGTATCAATATCAAATATTTTAATGCTTGTCGTTTATTTATATGGAAAATTTATATTATGTTCACCAGGAACCACATGGTATTTTGTACATGAGCCAATTACAAATGGACAAATGGTTGATACATTGTGCAGTAATAGAAAACAAGTTGGTTTGTAGCTGTTATATAAAAAATATCATGATAATTATGCATAAATTGCTCTAAGACAAGATTTTGCAAACAATAAACAATCCAACAATTTAAGTATTTTTATTGCCTGTTGGTAACAAAATAAAAATGTTACTAGATGATTCATTACTATTTAAAAAATAACATTTTGGTATTAATATATATCTAAAACAACTATGCAAATTATGACAAATTAGGAACTGATTTTATACCAGCAATAAGTGATTTTTTACTATGGTTTTCAATAAGGTTATCCAAGAAATTAAACTTTAAATTTCTGTTACCTGTTGAGCTTGTTTCAGAACTTCTGGAAGCTTCTCTATTGAACAATCTAGCACAATGTTCTTTTCACCGGACTTCTTTACAACAGTTAATATTGGACGGAAATTGTCTTGAATGCCAAGATCTAACTCTTTACTTGTTACTGTGAATCCTGCAAATATATTTTAGTTAACTTGGTCGACCCAATATTTGAAACAAATTACTATTTATTTATAAAACTTGAAAGGCCAGTAACAAAAAATTATGAAATATCACTGAAATATATCAGTGGTATTTTGCTGATCCTAAGCACCTGTTTGAATTGAATAAATTTAATAACAGTTGAAAAAAAAAGATTTTGGAGGCGTCAAATTGTGATGCTTTTTATACATGTACTTGCGAGCTTTTAACTGTAAAAGTTTAGTTAGTTTTTAACTGTAAAATAACTAAGTTGACTAATTTATAATGCTACTATTATGAATGGCAATACTTTCGTTATGGAAATAACAAATATTATATAAGTTAATTAGATGATTGTAAATAATGTACAACAATGATATGTTGTGTTTTGCAATATTTTCCATTTGTCGACTAATGATTCATATTTCATCACACCTTAAAAAATTTCCTTAACAAACTCCAAAAAGATTTATCAAAATTCGAATAACCGTGTAGAAGAAGTTTGATTTCATACATCCGTTTAGAAATATTTTATATGTGAGATATATATATATATATATATATATATATATATATTGAATGGTAGAGTCTTGGATTTGTGTATATTTTGTAGAGTTTCGAACAAGAATCCAAAAATAATACAAAATAAAAAAACAAGAAAAGTTTTTAATAAACAATTTCTTTATTTAATTATTTGTTTACTGTCAACGTTTCGGAACTAGGTACGTTCCATCTTCAGGACATCTGTCAAGAAACATGATCTTGATAAGATTTAAGCAAAAAATATGTTTAAGAATAGAAAATAGATTTTTCTTAAATAATAAATTAATTGTAACAAATAATAATGTACAGAAATATGATAATATGATCAACATGAAAATGATAAAAATAAATGAGTGGATTATCAGAACAGGATATTAAAAATGATAGAAATTTTTTGAAAGTTATGGAAAAATTTTTTTATAAGAAAGGATTAATGATAAAATTGAATTAATTACCTGTATGTTTGAATATACGTTAGCACTTTTTCACTAAACAAGAATTTTTGACAAAAAATGAATTTGTGAGTTATTTTTCCGCCGAATAGTTAACTTTTGTAAATCAAAATTACTAAAAGTGTTGTCTTTTTTTAAAATTATTATTTGAAAACAAATAATATTGTATTCGAAGTTATACTATTGGCTTTTGGAAGCGAACTAAACTGTATTTGATGGATATTGTTTGCTTAAATCTTATCAAGATCATGTTTCTTGACAGATGTCCTGAAGATGGAACGTACCTAGTTCCGAAACGTTGACAGTAAACAAATAATTAAATAAAGAAATTGTTTATTAAAAACTTTTCTTGTTTTTTTATTTTGTATTATTTTTGGATTCTTGTTCGAAACTCTACAAAATATATATATATATATATATATATATATATATATATATATATATATTATCTACATATATATAAAAATAAGTCGGGTTTTCCTTCCTGACGACAATTTTGCATTCGTTGGAAAGGTCTCGGGGCCCGCAAGTTTTATAGCTAAGAAAATTGGTGGTGCATGGCATCGTGCCTTAATGCAAATTGCTGGAACTTCACGCACCGTAATTAAAAATTCGTGTAATGAAATTAGTGAGAATTATCAGAATTATGCTTGGTTAAGTCAACGAGCAAATTTTGTTGCGAAGAATAATGATGTACACGCACTGAATTTCACCATTCAATCAAAAATTGCTGTCGATTTGGTGACATACCAATGATTCCGACTGGTCTTCCGATGACTTCAAACGATTGCAATTTTCAGTTCGCCTTGCGTTCGCAATAAAAAGTCGCAAGGCCAATCGCTTAGTGTTTGCGGGATAAATTTCAAATAGATTATTTAGAAAATCATTGTTTTCCACATGGGCAGTTATACGTTGCCTGTTCACGAGTTGGAAAACCAACAGCTTTGTTTGTGTTAACGTCAGACCAAAAAACAAAAAATGTTGTTTACCAAAGAGCACTTCAATGAAACGCATACTTTTTCGATTTACTTTCATTTACTTAGAGAAGTTCAACTAAAAAACACTTCATTTTTGTAATAGAAATAAATTCATTACTGTTGTGTAATAAAATAAAAATTTTTCTTTTCAAATATAAAACAAAAAAAAATTTTCTTCATCTTTCTCACGAAACCATCTGGTGGCGAAACGGAGTTTGTCGGGTTTGCTAATATATATATATATATATATATATATATATATATATACTTTTTTACTTTTTAATAACAATGTATACTTTTATGATACCTCCAGTATGGTGCATCTGCAAGAGTTCTCCCATCCTCGGCAGCCACGACCCCGATTCATATAGAATTGTAAAACTTTTCCATTTCCAAGCGACTATAATATCCATAACAGCCTTCGCCAATATCTCCGATTTCGGATGCAAATTTAGCATGTAAGATGCTCTTTTCTGACCGAATTCCCATCGAGATACGATATTAGGAATTTCCATGTGGTCACATACAGACTGCACAGTGTGACCGGTTATAGGATTTGCTGGCCCGAAGACGCCAACTACCCCCGCCTGGATATAAAAAAATTATAAATTAGATGTAGGTACTTAGTGATTACAAATATGATATAATGATATGCTTGTGTATAATTGCTTTTTGGAAAACTAATTATGTAGACAGATTGTTATTTTCTAAGATATCACAAATTTCTGTGATTTTTTTCATAGAGTATGCTAAAAATTTCAAACTTTAATATTGAACTTGGTTAAACATTCATATTGAAAATGTTTAAAAATATTTTTGTTACCTTCATTAACTTACAAACACCCATGGAAGCAGCTAAGTCATCTCCATATGGAAACTTTTCAATCTGTGCACGAACTTTATGCCTAGGTAATAACGTTTTGTCAGCATTGATATCGGCTGCAGCCAATCGAAATACATGTTCCAAGTCTGCACTATTTTCTTCAAATATTCCACCTTTTAAAAATAACGTTGTTAATATTTCAAGTATTCAAGTAATTGATTACTTTATTTATTTATTCTTAAGTAATTACGATTAAGAAAAATTACTTGAAGTTTTTGAATTACTTAATGCAAAAGAATGTAGGTATATAAAATTGCATATTCTGTAGTTAGATTAGGAACACAATTTAATTTAGAAATTGTGCTTATATAAGTTTATTAAGATTAGAAATCAATTCATAATCACATACGTGGTAAGTCTCACGAGCAATAATTGTTGCTCATAGTTTAAATGCAACTACTCCAAATTAAAGTTATTATTGCTCCCAATTTCACTGAATGTATACATCATAACATTTGAAGTTTATTCAAACCTATTTATATCATTAGTTAATTGATCGTTAATTGGAAAAAGTAGTTTTTAGATAGTGATTGAAACAAAGCAAAATATGTATTTATTCATTAATGTAAACAATAATGTAAACGATATTGAAATCTAATGAAGTGAATTTAGTAAAAGAAATTTCTGTATTTTTTATATAAGATACCTAACGGATATCTAGAATAAATTATTCGTTAGGTAGGTATATGATTCATAAAAAACCGTAATATATTACAATACATATTATTTTAGGTCATTACTTAATACAGATGTATGTATATAAATTGAATTGCATATTTTTTAATTGAATTAGGTACATATTTTCAATGTAAATGAAGTAATTTTTAATATAGATCAATTAAGTTCACATTGATAATTCAGTTTTAATTCAAATATTTCTATCAAAACTCTGTATCGTTTTTATAATTACTATGATCATAATTGGATCAGAAATAAATCATATATATGCAAGCAAGGAAATGTTTGCAATGTCTCCTTTGCAAATTATTTGAATTAACTCTTTAAGATTATCACGTTGTTTAAAACTTAATTGATCATCAGAGAAGGTAGTTTTTGAGCAGAATAACAAGAAATTGCAGAATAAAGGCCGTGTTACGAACTTACAGTGAGTATTGAAAAAGAAAAAATGTCGTGTTCAGCAGAAAAATTTTCTTCATTTAGTAACAAAACACCAGAAACAGCTTATTCGTTGGGCAGATACGAAATACAATTGCAAAATTTCGTTTTTTTAAAATTAGGACTTAGTTACAAATTATAAATGAGTAAAAGTTGATTCTACACGTGAGAGTCTTCATTAATAATATTTTTTCTGGGGTAAAATTGATCTTGATTGAAATAAAAAATGAAAGTAAAGATTTATTTTATTAATGATGTTTTGTAATTAAATTTTTTTTAAAGATGATCAAGTATTATTAATTAAATTAATCAATTTAATATTCAATTATAAATAAAGTCAAATTCACTCAAATTTATTCCATCAGTACTCGTCGCTATAAAAATTTACTCTGAGATAAAATTAATTTCATTGTTATAAACATTATAGTTATTTATTTTGTCGATAGCAAATTGCATTGATAATATGAGAGATAGAGGTTTTTTGGCAGAGTAAAAAGAAAAAACTGAATAATAATAATGTACTTTTAATTGTTGTTGAAATAGGGAAAAGATCAATTTAGCAAGAGAATTTTTTACATTTAGTAAAAAGATAGTAAAAATAGCTTATTTGTTAGGCGGATATAAAATAAAATTGCAGTGATTTTTTTATAAATGAAGTAATTGGTGAAAATCAATGTACTCATAATTGATGTTGAAATAGGGAAAAAATCAATTTAGCAAGAGAACAAGACAGTGAAATTTTGCATTTAGTAACAAGACAGTAAAAGATCAATTTAGTATGATAATTTTTCGCATAAAAAAATTGTATAAATAGCTTATTCGTTAGGCAGATATGAAATAAAATTTTAGTAATTTTTCTCTTATGAATGTACTCATAATTGATGTTGAAAGAGGCAAAAGATCAATTTAACAAGATAATTTTGTGAATTTAAAAAGAGTAAAAATAGATTTTCCGTTGGTCTGATATGAAATAAAATTAAGGCTATTCTTCTTTTATAAATTATAAATGAGTTCACTGATGAAAATCGATTACACCCATGGGAGCCGGGATAAAATTAAATAAAAGAATAAAATTTGTTCCGATATAAAATTATTCTTGATTGATATAAAATGAAAGTACTATTTCATTAGACCGGTAATATTTTGCTTAAATTGATTCACCAGTGGTGTACATATGAAATTAAATAAAAGAATAAAATTTGTTATGAGAGAAAAATTTTTTCGATTGATATAAAAAATATAAAACTATTTTATTTACCCGGTAATATTTTGTATTTAAATTTATTTAGAAAAATTTCTATGTGAGCTAGTTAACTTCCCGTAGGGTAAGTTATAGTAATCGCAAAAAAATCGAAAATGAAATTTTTTATATATCTTTACGTTTCAAAGGTTTCTGAACATTTTGGCATACCTTAGAAAAAATGGATGTATGTGTGTGTGGTGTGTGTGTGTGTGTGTGTGTATGTGTGTGTGTATGTGTGTGTGTATGTGTGTGTGTATGTATGTATGTGTGTGTATGTATGTGCGGATACAAATTTTCGTCGACGATTTCGGGAACACGGATCAACCGATTTGAATAATTCAAAAAACATTCGATTCGTATTGATAAGGAGACGTGCTGATTAGTTTTTGGCGAAGGCAGGTCTAGCCGTTCCGAAGATACGGGGCAAAAAGTGCCGAAAACGGTAACTCAGTTTTTAAGAGAACGGAGCGTCCGATTTGAATAATTCAAAAAACGTTTCACTTGTATTGACAAGATGAAGAATCGATAAAATTTTCATGAAGGTAGGTCTAGCGGTTTCGGAGATATGGAGGAAAATGTAAAAAAATGAGCCATTTGGCGGTCAAAAATGATCATTAGACATATGCACATCAAATTATCAGATATTTTATAGAGATTTTAACAATAAGTATACATTTTGTTAACATTCCTATGGGTCCGTACCAATGCTTATGCGTTAGACAGCGACGCGGCACTTACGCGCTTTATAATTTTGTCCCTATGCAGTTAAAACAGTACGATTGCTTTGAAAAAAGTTCAGATCTTCCACAATATGTTAAATAAAGAAAAATTTTTTTTCAAAAAAAAAAACAAAAAAAAAATAAAAAAAAATTTTTTTTTAAAAAAAATTTTTTTTTCAAAAAAAGTATTTTTTGGCCAATTTATAGTTTTCTCAAAAATCTTATTTTTTTCAAAGTAATTTTTTTTCAAAAATGTTAATCTTTTTAAAAAAAATAATAATTTTTTGGTACG